AATAGCGATTTTCGGTGTATTAAAAAATCAATATACATGTACGCTCCTTCGTAAAATAATCAGATATTTGCATTGATGAAAAAAATATTAATAAGAAGGTGTTAAACAATATAGGTCACATTAGCTGACACGAACTTCTTTTTAAACATCTCTTGTAAAACCCAGAGAGTAGCCCCCTATGCATTGGAAAAATGAATAGTTCCGGTCAAAAAACCTTTATATATTTATTTACAAAGTATATAAAATTTACCAGGCACAGGTATCAGAGTTGTCAAAATGGCCTGAGAGGAAATATTAAAAAAAATTCTGAACAGAAAGGAAAATCCCTTTTCCATGTATGGAACTACTATTGAATAAGTTCATTTTGATTGGTTAGGTATTGGCGTGATACCCTTAGTCGACGTTAACCCTGCCTTGTCGTCGGAATAAAACCAACTTTGAGCCCGAGGTTAAAATAAGTAGAGAAATAAAATGTGAATCGATATATTAAAAATATGACATATGCTTGAAAAATGGTAAATTTATATATGTATTTTTTTCTTTGATTCGCGGGATAGAAAGATATGTTAATCGCTTAATCAACATGCCATAATCATCTTGCATATGCATGTACCTGTACGTGTGCGCGCATGCAAAACGTTAAACAATATATCGTTGATAGTTGATATCATTGTAACTTTTATATTCTTAAATGAAATCTTGGGATACTTAGCATATTTATAAAAGGTCTTAGAGGAATAAGGCACGATAAGGGACATGGGGAGCGTTTGGGGAACATCTGTAACGGTCCCCGTTACAATTAGCACTAGTTTTTTGTTCAATTACTTTTATCATGACATATATGTAATCAACTTTAAATACTAATATATTCAAACAATTACTAGTATAAAAGTTAATTCATAAAAGATGGTACATGTATCAAGAAGAATTTAGAAATATATCATGTATCTAACAATAAGAATGTATGAAAAGGGGAATAACTCAATTTAAATAGAAAATCAAGTTTATAAATATAACCTTATTAGTCCCCTACCGGTGAAACCGGGGGGACTATAGGTTTCCTCTGCGTCCGTCCGTCTGTCTAGCTGTCTGTCTGTCTGTCCGTCTGTCTGTCCCCGTCAGTCTGTCCCACTTGGTTTTCCGCACTTTTTTTCTAAACGCTTGCAGATATTGAGCTGAATTTTGGTATGTGAGTGTATCTTAATGAGTTACAGATCAAGTTTGAATTTCGCTTCGCTTCATTGATTTTTGACAGAATTATGGCATTTTGAATATTTTTCATAATCGCTAAATTAAGATCGGGTTCGAACTGTGCTAACTTCCGATTGTCGACAAAAATATGAAGCGAGGAAAAGACGGTGGAGAAATGAGTTAAATTTTCGTCATAATGTGGATTATTTTATTAGTTTTAAGGCATTTACAACTTGAAAATCTTTCAGTTTTACCTTGGACATGACTTTTGCTTATTATAAAATGACATCCTGAAGAAAAAGGGGAACCCGGTAGGGGACATGTATTGCTTATGCAATACTCTCAGAATGCTTGTTCAATATGTCTGTTTGTTAAATGTCCCTTTAGAGAATTTTTAACTCTGTCATATTAAAGAACCACCACTTCCAGTTGAGAACTGCAAATTTAGCCTAAAGATCAACACTTTGAACTCTGGGCCATTGAGCAGTGAGAGATTTTTTTCATGCCAGCACCTAATGCAACATGAGACCTCCTCAGTTATTACTATGTCATCCAAAGGACCAATCTCCACATCTCTCAGTGGGATTTGAATTCACAATGTAAGTTTAAAATACTGGGAGATATATCCATGCCCTAAATGGAGTTATTTTATAATTTTAAACATTATACAGAAAAAATTCAATAAGGCCATGCAGAGTTTGTTCCTCTTTTAGACTGTGACTTCTCCAATGGACTCATTGCCTCACATCAAAATTTTTGACATCACGTAAAAACATATTTGCAAAAAAAAAAAAAAAAGATTAAGCAGACTATTAGTTCTACGTCAGTACTTAAATAATGCATTTGTTTTAACTCATTAAACTCAAATGTTTGCACTGGTGTTTTTTCTTCAAATAGACATTTATTCAGTACATCTAGGACTAGACTATTAGTATTTTAAAGAACAAACATTAGTGCAGGCATTTAAGTACCGGTATAATGAATTAAACAAAATTTAATGCACTATTTCTCAGGTCTATAACTGTGTTGTAGGTCAGCCAATGATGGACCTGAATGTTTGACCTGGAGCCATGCAAAGGTAGAGGGTACTTTTACCCAGTAAAACTGAATACCTACCAATGTGTCCACAGCTTTCTCTATCATAACATGCTGGACCCTCTCTGGCATTCCATCCATAGTTAGCTCCCTTGATCAGTAAATCTAATTCTTCATGTGCTGACTGGCCAACATCACCACACACTATTCTTCCCTTACCCTCTCCTAATAATATACATGTAGTAAAATAATGAGTAATTATTTCAATTCACATATTTTAAATGTTTAAGATTTTTCCAAAGTACTATTGTGTGAAATATAAAATAGCATTAGAGAATATTCTTCTATCTGACTGGAAGAAACATGACAAAATAACTTAAATTTTAATGATTGAAATTCTTTGGAATCTGACAATGTGTTGAAAGGGAAGCAACTCAATTTTGGCTTGCTCTGAAATACTTTTGCTTAGAAGATAAATGATTCCTGACTGAACTAAATTGATAGTAAATCTTAAAATCTATGTAAAAAATTACCCTTATTATATATGTAAGATTTTTCAAAGAAAAATTTTGAGCTGTATCCTATGACAGTGCATAATCAAATAGATGGGGAAAAAATGGCTGCCAGGCACATTTTATTTCTGTGCATCACAAAAGATGAATTCTACAATGTCACACCTCTAATTCGACATATTTTGATTGAAAGAAAGCAACAAATTTTTCACACAGTAATTTGGGCTCAGTTTTAAATACTTTCAGAAAGTAACAAACCTGCTCTGTAATGTACATGTACTAGCTGAAAAATCACAAAAAATCACATACCGTATAAGTAGAATTTTTAGCGAGGATTTAATTTTGGCATTTTTAGCAAGGGTGTCGAGATTGCTAAAATTGAATATCGCTAAAAATTAATTGCGTTTTATTTGTAATAGCTTCTTTAATATGCATTTTAAAATCGCTAAAATAACATCTCGCTAAAAATGAATTACGAGTTTTGAAGAACAAATCGCTAAATTTGTGTCTCGCTAAAATTTCCACTTATACGGTATTTTCGTGGGGTCAATTTTTCAAGGTTTTGAGGAAAAGAATATTGGCTTGTGGGGATTTGATTTCATGGTTGGTAAAAGTTTAGTAGTAATGCATATGAAATATTTTACTTTTTTTTGGTGGTCATAAATTTGTGGGTCTCTCCATACCTTGAAAACAATGAAAATTAAACACCAACAAAAATTAGTGATTTCATAGTTTCCGGTAACCTCAGATAGTCAAAATGCATTACTGTAGATCACTTAATTTTCGTGACACCTTATTTTCGTGTAATAGTCATTGACTCTTTATTAGCGAGACATAATTTTCACGAAATATTATTATTCCTCTTTATAGTCTTAAGGTCCTATTATACATGAGAATGAAATTACGCAAAAATAAACTTTTCACGGATAAAATGTGATTTACAGTACTTTCATCCTTTTACCTGTGCGAGGATCCCCTCTATCTTTTCCACACCTCCAGATATTTCTAACTCCATATGCGTAGATTTCAGGACGGAACATTGAGTGATTGGCAAATGGATTATCCAGGGGAATCTTGTAGGGAAACGGATAATCCAACTCTGTATCCACATCTATCCTCAACACTTTACCTAGGAGAGTGCTCCTGAAATTTGAAAATTCGGATTTTTATACAATTTTTTTTTAACTTTTGGTTTAGAGGATTAAAGATTAAAATATGGTGTAAGCGAATCCTTTACATTGTGTATGTGTGTGTGTGTGTGTGTGTGTGGGGGGGGGGGTTATGTCCAATATTCTCTATTGATTTTATACTGGATGTGAGAGAAGCATAGCTGAATTGCCATTGAAAATGTATCAAAATAAAACTAAATAGCATTAAATTATTTCAATCCTAAATAAAATATAAAAGCCAATGAAACAACTTTTGTTGCATATATTTTAGGGATGTCAAAATATTAATTTTCCTTAGTCGAACATTCGATTGCATTATTCGAACGATAGTCGACTATTCGGAGCATTTTTTTTTTTATTGCACAGTGTTTCTGAAAGCTTATTAACTAAAATAAATTGGAAAATGGAAAAAAAAAATGGAAATGGGGAATCGTAAACACACACTATCCACACCTCCGATGAAAATGTTAAATACTCTTTGTTCATTAATGATTGCCCAAGCTATATATCAAAATGTCTTTTATGTAAGATTATTGTGTTAATAATCATCGAACGGCTATGCAAATATTGTGTGTTCCCAAGCATTTGAAATTCCTAGAGTTTATAAATATAATTGGTAGAAGTCAATTAAATAATTTTCATAGTCCAGTATATAGCGTCGCATAATTACTAGGTACAATAACAAAACAAGAGGCCCATGGGCCTTATAGGTCACCTGAGCATCATGCAACAACTTTCAAATGATTGAATTTGGTTTATGTTTTAAGCTAGATGCTATGGCATTCACAATTTTGAAAGAGGCACCATTGCTAATCATAACTATACACTTACCAATTGTTTAGTTTGTTTACTTAATACCCATAAGCAGGGTAGGGGAACAAAAATGTATGTCAACTAATCAGTAATATTTAGCAATAATCAGGAGTGCTCCTACCACACATGAACTCCTGACCCTAGGTCTACACATTGCACAATTTTTGAAAAGGCACACTTGCTTATCAAAATTGCTTGATTAATACCAAGGAGCAGATTTCAAACAATTCATTTTCAGTATATAAGTAGAGCCCCCCCCCCCCCCTTTTGGTATCCCTGACCCAGGGGCCTTGAAATTCACAAGTCTGGAAGAAGAGCCCATCATAACTATATAAATAGTTCATCTGCTTATTACCCAGGAGTAGAGAAAAAGATTTAAATTGATGTAATGTATTTTCACTATATAGTCATTATAAAGCCACACCCTAACACCAGAACCCCTGACCATGGGGACATAAAATTCACAATTTTCGTAGAAACATTCTTGCTCATCATAACTATGTCCTTAATTAGTTTATTTGATACTCAGAAGCTGAGAAGAAGCTTTTCAAAGAATAAATGCATTTTCACTATATAATCAATAGAGCCCCGCCCTAACACCATAACCCTTGACCCTGGGGCCATGAATTTCACAATTTTGGTAAAGGCACTCTTGCTCATCATAACTATGTACTTAGTTAGTTTATTTAGTAGCTAGGAGTAGAGAAGAAGATTTTCAAAGATTTAATGCATTTTCACTATATAATCAATAGAGCCCCGCCCTAACACCATAACCCCTGACCCTGGGGCCATGAATTTCACAATATATGTAGAGACGCTCTTATTCATCATAACTATGTACTTAGTTAGTTTATTTAATACTCAAGGACAGAGAAGAAGATTTTCAAAGAAATAATGCATTTTCACTACTTAATCAATAGAGTCCCGCCCTAACACCATAACCCTTGACCCTGGGGCCATAAAATTCACAATTTTGGTAGAGGCACTCTTGCTCATCATAACTATGAACTAAATACGTTTATTTAATACCCAGGAGCAGAGAAGAAGATTTTCAAAGAATTAATGCATTTTCACAATATAATCAATAGAGCCCCGCCCTAACACCAGAGCCCCTGACCCTGGGGCCATGAATTTCACAATTTTGGTAGAGGACTCAATGCTGATTTCAATCATACCAACAGTTTGACTGCTTGATGTCTGGGAGTAAAGAAGAAGATTTTTAAAAATTGCACTAATTTTAGTGGTTTTTGCCCCACCCCCCACGCCCCAGGGGGGCAGGGACCATTAAATTCACAATTTTTGTTCCCCTTCACCCATAGATGCTGTATGCCAAATTTGGTTGAAATTGGTTCAGTGGTTTCAGAGAAGAAGCTGAAAATGTTCAAATGTTAACGCACGACGGACGACGGACGACAGACGACGGACGACGACGGACGAAAACAGATAGCAATAGGTCACCTGAGTTTACTCAGGTGACCTAAAAAGTCAGTGATTGAGAAATAATTACCGCGGTATGTAATTACTGTATTTTCCATATGTACAATGTAGAAAATTATTTATATACTGTGAAGGCTCTTATTTGTCTGAGGACATCCACTATACAGCTGTATAGTTTGGGGAAGGACCCCTTTTCAATTTTGAGATGAAAATTTCATTATCACCCCCTTTTCTTGCATTTATTTAATATTCGAATGTTGTTTCATTATTCGATCGTCGGTTCATTCGACTGACAGTCGAATAGTCGACTATTCGTTGACATCCCTAATATATTTGCCCAATAGAAAAGAACATCGTAAATACTATGTGATAATGAACTACATGTACTAAATGTTAATGATAATTTGTTTTGCATAAGTGATGACACACTGAATAATATTGTTATCAATATATAGTAAAGCGACCTTTGCTCATGTTTCTGATCATGCCTGATTAAGCAATATGGTAATCATAAAGATTCATGTACTACACATAAAAGCCATTCCTTAATTGACATTCATCAATCAGTATTAATTTCTTGAGCCAATTATCATATCATTAAGAGTATATAACTTCCATAATGAATAAAGGAGCCCAAAGCACGAACAAAAGGGGAATATAATAAACGAATCATATCAAATGAGTTAAGATTTTGTCTTCCACATTTTGTCCACACTTACATATCATATTTTGTCAAAATATATTTTGTGCACTTACCAGTATTTGTCCATTTACCCATTTTGTGTGAGTACATACCACCTACCATAAATACTCGCCTATAAGTCGGTTGGGTTTTTTAAGGTTATTTTGGAGGAATTTTTCCATTGACCCGCTTATAATCGGTACATTTTTTGACACAAAAGGTCTACAATTTCAAGTAAATCCACTGGTGATTTTAACTTGTTTTCAATTAATATTTTTCAAACTGACTATGATATTTAATTTTAAAACATAAATCAAATAAGTAATACACACTTAAAATACAAATAAAATAATTTCATATGTAAATACTTGCATTTTATGTATAATCTAAGCATAATTGTCGGATATGCATAACAAATACTACATTTTGCCTTCCAGAAAAATATCAATCTATGACTCACCTATAAGTTGGAAACAGAGTTTTAGACCAAAAATTAACTCCCAAAAAACCAACTTATAGGCGAGTATATAAGTATTTTGTTCACTTATATATTTTGTCCACTTATACATGTAAACAATGAAATATTTGGAGACAATGAACTGAAAGATCCATTAATCAATACAAATTGTGGTGCAGAGCAAACACAGACCTCTTAAACATCAGAGGTGGGATCAGGTGCCATGGAGGAGTAAGCAGCCCATGTTATGTCCATTTTCAACCAGTCTTTTGTTCACTTACATATTAGTATTAGTCCATTTACATTTCCTTTTTCACTTACATACTGGTATTTGTCCATGTACACACCAGTATTTTGTACATTTTACATATTTTGGCCACTTATGTATTTTGTCCACTTTCCTATTTTTTCCTCTTATACATACTTTATCCACTTACCTATTTTTTCCACGTACATACTTTGTCCACTTACATACTTTGTCCACTTACCTATTTTGTCCCCCTGCCTATTTTGTCCACTTACATACTTTGTCCACTTACCTATTTTTTCCACTTACCTATTTTGTCCACTTACCTATTTTGTCCACTTGCATATTTTGTTTACTTTGTCCACTTACCTATTTTGTCCACTTTCCTATTTTGTCCACTTACCTATTTTGACCGTTTCCCAGGGGATCTCCTCTGGACCCACCATCTCCCACAAAGATATATAAATAACCATCATCTCCAAATAAAATCTGAAAGTTAGGAGGAAAACAAAAAATAAGAAATAAGAAATATATTGCCAAATAAAATTGATTTTGTTTGGCAAATGATTAATTGTAATGAAAAAACACACACACATACACATCATCTCAGAATGAATTCAAGTACTATAGTAATTGGGGTCATTTTTTAAGAGATTCATTTATTAATAACATTGCTATACAAAATGTAAACAGCAATAAAATTGTTGAAATCTACTTGTCATTTCAATCTGTAGCTAAGGCCTAGATAAATAAATTATGTGTATCCAGTTCCCTGACCCACCCTAAAATATATGAGCCGACCCTAGAAATTTTATCCATCAATCTTTCTGAAAGTTAACAAATCTGGTTTTGCTGTTAGAAATCTAAATTTCAATCACTTCATGGTATGAGTAAATGCATAATCCATACACATTGAGCAGAAATGTTTTGACAGTGATTTCCACAGTAAAAATGGTTGTCAGTGCTTGCTTATAAAATGTTTAAATAAAATAAAATGTTTTATCTACCTACCTACCCTATTTTTTCTCTGGTTGGAATAGGAAGCACATTATTTATTTACTTTGGCCTTAGCACTTTCTTTTCTTTTGTGTAATACATAATTCATATTTACCAATGAATTTTCCCTACTATATGCATGCAGAAAGAAAATTTGCAATTTTGTACATGTACATTCATGATTAGTATTTATACTTTAACTCAAAGAATGTACTAGATATATGTACTGTAGTTTTCAAAAAATGCAAATATTTTCTTACCATTTATATACCGGTAATCTTTTTTATCATATTTCATTGGTAATAATTTATTCATGAAATGTTTCTACGCTTTAGATATGGAAATCCAATTAAAATACAAATAAGAACAGGTAACTTCATCAAAATGCTTTTTTTCTATTTTAATTCTTTTCTCTTTTGAAATTAAATCTTCAGAAATTAAAGCGCATGTTCATATTGATTATAAGATAAAAAGAAATCATTCTTTTAAAACTTAAGACTTTTTCTGAAAGGTAAAAAGGCTTAAATGATCTGAAGAAAAAACTCTGAATCCCTTTGAATATTAAACCACAAAAGTGTCTTTGTTGATGTTTGGGGAATTTAACATGTACTATAATTGCATGAGGATTATGCGATTCAAGATAACATTTAATTAAATTTTCTAAGTTTACTTGAAAGTTGAATCTGGGTTGTGTCATAAAAATCTAGAACAAAATTTCCTATCTAGAAATCCTTAAACAACATCAAGGTTAATATGTTAAAGACTAAAAATTATTACGCAGTAAAAAAAATACAAAAATCTAATTAACAAATCAGAATCTGTAGATTTAAAGTTAATTAAACTGGAATTCGTTAAAAGAAAGGTGGATTAAAGATTAAACAATTTAACCTAAACCTTAATGTAACTTGATAACATCTATCAGCAAATTTAGCTTTCTTTTTCATGCATCGCCTGAAATAACCACTTTCCCCAAATGCTGACATTAAAAAAGTTTCTGGCTCTCAAATTTTCTTCGTGGGTAATAACTTTGTGTGTCTGAATAGACAAAGATTTACACGAATGATAAGGGCCTTTGTGGCAAACAGCTCAAGAGCTAATAACATGAAGAAAGTGTTGTACAGAAACATCAACAAGTCACTACTCTTGGTACAACATATCATCATGGTTACTTCTAGCTGACAAGCATACAGAAGAAATCTTTTAAAATAAAAAGCACCTTGGCAGAATTGCGATTTTTTATCACATGTATAGCATGGCATGATGGTAAAGAAATTATGTTCTGTATTAAATCTACAAATGCTGTTGCTTTATTGCCTGGGATGTATATATATAGCCTTCTAAATTGGTACACATATAAAGGTGTCCAAAAATTAAAAAAATATCATTTATCAACTGGTAATACCGTAATGCATGTTTATGATGGAAAAAAGGGGAAATAAGTGACATCTCAATTTAGTATCTTATCCCGTCACATGAAGAATGTTTTTCTTTAGAAAAAAAGCTCCTACTGCGCAATTCCTTAATTAATTCAAATGAAGGTTTAGTTCTGTAGTAAGGAAGTAGACACCACCTTAATGCCAATACAAACCTCTCCTCCGTTGTGGTTCCAGAAGGGTTCCTCCACTTCTAAAATCACTCTCTCACTCCCAGCATCTGCGATGTTAGGATCCAGGCTCGACACTAGAAACTCACTGATGCGGATCTTATGGTTGTTATTCATTAAGTCATTATGGCGCTCAAGTAGTGTGGAATAATACACAAAGAATCTGCCATTTTGTCGAAAATTGGGATGAAATGCTAGTCCCAATAAACCTCTTTCATCGCCTTCATTTCTTGAGTTGACAGTCTGGTAGCTAATGTCCAAGAAAGGATGACTTTCACTTGACCCATTTAAATAGTACACAAATATTAAACCTGTAACTTCTCCTATGAATAACCGATTACTTCCATCACCTGCATGCCGAGCAAATACGGGGTTATACAACATATCAGCAAAAGGTTCCATACACAAACAACCTTCAGAGGTGTACTGTTTGATAGAAATTCTATTGTTTAACATTGCATTTGTTTTCAGTTCTGGGTAACAGTAATCTTGGTCACTGAGACTTATGTATTCACAAAACGCTGATGTCCCATAGCTTACATGTTGCAGAACATTTGAATCTTGAGTTA